CAGTCACGATCGGCTGGGCCCCAGCAGCAAGCTAACCTACTGGTTCGAGAGTCTGCCCCCCGGTGATCAGTGCACATCATAGTGAGTGGTTGAGTGGCCTTAGCATATCATTAGCATATTACTCTGATTGGTTAAATTTAGCATATCATTAGCATATTACTCTGATTGGTTGAATGGATGACTGGACAGCCGGACACTTAGCATATTAGGCTTTTATTATATAGGATGGATTGTCTACAGATTTTCCACATCAGACTGTTTTCTCTGAGATGTTCCAGTGCTGTCCTGGTCACCATTGGATTCTTGTTTATATGATATCCCTATTCCTTTGAATACATTTGTATTCTCATCGACAATAGCTAGAATGTAAAAGTTTTAAGATAGAATATGCATAAGAGAAAGCATTTTTGTAAATAATACCTTTTATTCATTTTTGTTAGTGACTCTTTTCATCTGAGGATTGATTATTCAAAAGGTTATTGCACGATGCTAGATGCTCTGATTCTTTTGCCTAAGGATTTAATAATCTAGGGACCCAAGCTTTCTTTACTTACCCCAAATTTCTTTTAAATATACAGACAACAGACAAATATTGGTGAACATGTAAGAACTCAGGACATACAATTTTTATAAGCCCTTACTGAAGAAATTACCAGAAGACAAATTTCAGCCAAATAGGAGGTGAATGGAGACTCTCAAAGAGACTAGCATTTAATAATTGAATTCAGTGTGCTCTGAAGAACTAAAACAATAGAGAGTGATTGCTACAGAATAGAATATAAAGGTTATAAAGCCTGACAATGTAGAAATAATAAAATAAAAGGTGAGAAAGGAAAAGGTGAGAGGTAGTGTATGCATGCTAATACCCTCAGATTTTATATCTGGGATACAATACCTATAATTTAAAACAGAAAGATATAAGTATTCAATGGTTTAAAAAAGCAAACTGCAAGAAACATTATAAAATCAATAAAAAGTGTGTGGAGGAGGATGGTAGAGAGGAAATGAGAAAATTCTCATTAATCATTGCTCTTATGAGAGAGTTAATGAGTGCAACCATGTTTATGTAGTTGTATATATATAAAAGTAGAAATGCAACTCTTCTGAGTAATCATGTAAAATATAGAATATAAGGCAAAGACAGCATGGACTGTAATGTGAGGGTTTTTTTAAAAGGCACTGCAGAAGCCCAGTTCACATAGCATCAAACATGTAATGAGCTTCATTATTTTCAGAGTCCATATTTGCAAATTCGCTTGCTCACTAAAATTTATTGTAACCCTCAAATCAATACTCGTGACACTTACCCAATCAATTTTGGACATGAACAGCATAGTGAAAATTTTGAGTTGCTAGCTGAGGTTGAACAAGGCAACACTCTGCCTTTTTGTTTCAACTTTCACACTATAAACAATTATTTGTAAAAAAAAAATGTATATTAATAAACTAGGTGTCTTTAAAAGAAAAATGCATAAAATAAGTTTACATATTGATTAGTTGACCAGAATGTTGTGATCAGAGGCTCACAGGAACCTTTCCCTATATTTCCCATAGGTGTTCACTAATTCAGTGTTTGCAACAACTTTACAGAATGTAACTATGGCAACTAGCAAGAACTGACTGTACCTAGTGTTGAATCTAACAAAAGATGTGAAAGACTTGTACAGTGAAAACTATAAAACATTGCTGAGAGATAGAACATATCTCTAAATATGTGAGAAGATATACCATGTGCATAGATCAGAAAACTCAATATTGGTGTTAGTTCTTCCCAAATCGATTTGTAAATTCAACACACATACAAAATCAGAATTCCAGCAGGCCTTTTAAAGATTGATATTTCCTTGAAAATGCAAAAACCTAAGAAAGCTAAAACAGTTTTGAAAAAGAACAGAATTAGAATACTTACACTAATTGATTTCAAAGGCTTTTTTGTACATTACCAAGACAGCATGGTATTGATGAAAAGATATATAGATAGATCAACAGAATAGAGTCCAGAAATAAACCCACACACATATGGACACCTGATTTTGATCAGAGGTGCAAAGGTGATTTAGTTGAAAATGAATAGCCTTTTAAACAAGTATGCTGGACCATTTGATATCTATATGCAGAAATATGAACTTTGATCTATACCTTTTACCATGTACAAAAATTAGCTCAAAATGGATCATAAACCTAAATATAAAACTTCTCAAAGGAAACATAGAAGTATATTTGTGATTTTTCAATTAAATAAAAGTTTCATAGATATAAAGCCAAAAATATGATTCATAAAGGACAGATTGATAAATTAGACATAAAAATTAAGAACATTTGCTCTTCAAAAGAGATTGTTCAGAGGAAAGACAAGATATAGCTGGGAGAAAATATTTTGCAAATTGTATCTCTGATAAAAGATTTGTATTCAGAATATATAAAGAATTCACAAAATTCAATAATAGACTAATTTTTTAAATGGGCAAGAGATTTGAACAGACACTCTACTAATGAAGATATACAGGTGGCAAATCATCATATGAAAGGATTCTCAGTGTCATTAGGCAAATACAAGTTAAAATCACAGTGAGATATCACTCGATATTCATAAGAGTGGTTAATTTAAAAGATGACAATACCAAGGGTTGACAGGGTGTGGAGTAAGTGGAACTCACAATTATTAGTGATGGGAATGCCAAATGGTACATCCAGTTTGGAAAATAATTTTGCAGTTTTTTAAAAAGTTAAACATATACCTACTGTATGTCCAGCTATTCAACTCCTTGGTATTTGCCCAAGAGAAAGGAAAGCATCTATATATATAAAAAGCTAATATGCTAAGTGTCCGTCCGACCGGTTGCAATGATGTGCACTGACCACCAGGGGGCAGATGCTCAACTAAGGAGCTGTCATGATGCACCCTGGCCATTTACAGAAAAACGGCACCGTAGACCTGGTGCCCACAAAGCAACACTCAGCTTCCCCCAAGTGGGACACAGGCTTCACCACCACCCCAGAGTGACACCCCACCAAATCGCAGCCGATGCTGCCGAGACCTCATGGCTCAAAATGCAGCCCACAGCCCAGCCCAGCCCTGGAAAGAGCGGCTGTGGGCGATGATGTCACGTAGCAATGCCCGGCATCCTCTCCCTAGTGACTAGCCTCCTTGGAGTTTCTTCAGCCCAGAAACATGACTTGCTTTATAGTCAGGTGGAAACATTTACATTTTAACCAAATATCTGTGAAGCATTTTCCCATGCCTCATCTTATTTGATCCTCCAGAAGTCCTGGAGTAGGTAGATAGGAGACTTGGTGGAATCCTATTTTCTTTTCATTAGCTGGAAAACAGAGATTTAGAAAGCTTAGAAACTTGACCCGACTGAAAAGAAGTAAGAAATGGTGGACCTTGAAAATGACTTCAGGTTTTCTCACTGTGCAGAATATAGTCAAACACTGCTGCAGTTAAATATTTTACCCTTTGTTCTCCCTGTGTGATCTACAATAATAAATCTGCTTCGTGTTGATATTTACTGCTGTGTTGCTGACAATTACCTGAAAGAGAAGTTGGGGTGCTTCACTGGGCTGGAAAAAGTTTAGCTAAATCAGAAAGCAGGTCTAATTAAGCAAGTTTATTCTGTATATATAAAAGGCTAAGTTGACTCACGCATGTGCCATACATATAAACCTCTCACTGGCGCCAATCGCACACGTGTGTTTCGATCTTTCATTGTCAGTCATGAATTTGTTTGACGCTTCTGTTATAGAGAAAGGGCAAATAGCGTTATTAAAACATTTCTTCTAATTTCCTTTCAATGTGCATGAATCCTTGCACTGGGACACTAGTGTAGTCATAAAAAATACTTGTACATAAATGTTTATAACAGCCTCATTTTCAATAGCCAAAAATAACTAACCTGATGTCCATCAGCAAATGAATGGATGAACAAATTGTGGTTTACCCTTACAAGGGAATACTACTTAGCACTAAAAGTAATGGTTTATTGATACATGCAACAACATGGGTAAATCTCAAAGTAATGATAAGCAAAAGAAGCCAAACCAAAAAAATAATACAGTGTAAGATTTCATTTCTATGAAACGTTAGGAAATGCAATCTAGTCTATGGTGACAGAACAGAAATCATTGGCTGCCTAGGCATGAGGAAGTGGTTGGAAGGGAAGGATGAATTCATAGAGGCATGGTGAGGAAGCTTCTATGGGTTTATCTCCAATAGGAAAACATATCCTCAGGTGAGGATAAAATAAAAATTTTTTAAAAAATCTTAAGCTTCAGTCACAATAGAAATGCTCATTAAAAGCACAATGATGTGATTTTTCACATACCAGGCAGTATGGACCATAACACTTAATAATGCACTGTGAATGTGGGGGAAACCCACTCTTGTACACATCTGGTGGGAACTTAAGTTGGTATAACTTCTATGAAAAGTTACAATAGCTTTCAGTATTGAAAGTGCACATACCATGTGATCTAGCAATTTTATTTCTAGGAATTTATACAATAGCTTTCAGTATTGAAAGTGCACATACCATGTTCATTTGCTTTTGAACAATTTTATTTCTAGGAATTTGCTGTATAGATATATCCTCCCATATGCAAAATGAATACATGGATGTTCATTGCAGCATTGTTTGTAAAAATGGAAAAAAATAATCTTTTAATTGCATAAATTAAAAATGAGATTTATTGGATAAATAAGGCTATATCTATGCATCAAAAAGAATGAGACAGCACTAATAGCTAAGGATATAGACCATTCTACAAGTTGTACTGTTAAGTGAAAAAATCAGGGAACAGAATGCCCTGTACAGTATGCTATCATTTCTTATGCATATTCGGTGCTAGTATAGACATAAATATTTCCTGCAAAGATCCACATGAATCTAGTAATAGTGGTGCTGTCTGATTCAGGTCTGGAATTGGAAGGAGCATACTACTCTGGAAACATTTGATAGTCTGTGTACATATAAACTAATTAAAATTATTCTTTGTCTTAGAAATCAGTCCAGAACCTGGAGGACCTTACAAAAGTAAGTATTAACTTATCTGATAAATATTATTAATGTTTTAGTAATAAAAAATATTGCTAATATAACAGTAATTATTGTATGTTAGGCACTGTACTCTGGGTCCTTTACAAATGTCATTTCAGTTTTTCCAATAAACCTTCAAGGTAGTTGGGGTACTGTACAGGTTAAGAAATAGATTCACAATATCACCCAAGGACACACAGATAATAAGGCCCTTTTAAGTTCAGTTGATTGAGGCTTGAGGAGTAACATCCAAAGATATATCCAAGCTTCTGTCCATAACATTTATGGATGGCATGTGTAGTGGCAGACCACACAAGTCAGTTACATGTAAGCTTCCTGTACTTCCAAGGAAAGACAGTTATTGTCTTACTTAAATTTTTTTATATTAGGATTGGAACTTGTAGGATTCCAGCAGGCTCAACATCTTGAAAATACCAACTGCCAAGATAAATGTTGTCTTTAGAGAGTAAATATTTTCATGTTTCTATATAACTATGATGTGGCCTTCTTGAACTGGTTTTATTCCATAAAGAAAATGAGATTCTTTAGCAGATGGACAAATTTTAAATGTAGGCCAAACCTTAAAAATAAAAATCCAAGTAAAATGAGGGGGAAAAATTGAAAACATCCCCTCTTTTAAATGAGGGCTTTTGCTTCTGGCATTATAAATAATCAATAGGGTTTTGTATTTTGTTTTATTTTGAGCAAGGGTAAATTTCAGTCTTTTTATTCTTCAGTACTCAAGGGATCACTTTGACAGCTGATAAACTGGCCTATATTAAAATAATGATATGGCAGGTCTTTGGGTATCTTAGTATGAAATCGATTTATGTCAGATTCAGTTTATAGCATCTGGAAGTTTGCCTGCTCATGGCAACAAATTAGGACTTGCATTTACTATTGACTCACTGTGACACATAGTTGAAGGAGGTTACCTATGTATTTTTTACCCAGTACTCTTTAGAAACAGCTATATCTTGTTTATCCAGTAAATGCATTATTAAAAAGAAATATGTAAATTAATTACTGAACAATGAATTTTACTTTTTCAACTTCATCATCTTGTAAAATGTTCTATTTTTATTTATAATTCTTATTTATTAGGGTTCATTGTTTCAATTAGCTTTGTTTCCTGTGAAAAGTAACTCGTATGTATGCAAATACTTATTCAGATTACAAGATGTTAGATGTTGTACCAGGCAGATGCACATGCATCCTTTAAAGCATTGTCCATGACCAATTAATTATCTCTCCCTAAAGTTTACCACCTCCTGTTCTTATGTGTGACTGTAGTTAGGTTTCTCTCCCTCTTTCTTAGTCTTAAGGTATACAACAAAGAAACCTCACCATAGTTTTAATGTTCACTGGAATAATTGTCATTTTGCAAATATATTGCGTCTTCTTCATTTCTTCCCATGCCCCTTCTTATTCATATCTAGAACCATAAAATGTTCAAAAGCAAATGAACAGCTGTTTTGAAGAATGAATTTGTTGAATGTCTATTTCTCTATCTCTTACCACGAGTGTGGTCCTCCACCCTTTTCCAGATGACCAAAGGGTGGTCCTTGTTGCAAGGTTAGATTAGACCCTTGGGTAGCCAGTAGTTCTGATGTCTACTATGTGCATTGAGATGGGTGAAATCCAGAGCACTGCCTTGAATTTCCAGGATGGTGCCTCTTCCTTATCCTTTCCTGCGTTGTGGGACCTGCCACTTAGAGTCAGTGTGGGGAGATGTCTCCAGGGCCTGCACTAAGGTATGCACTTAGAAATGGTCTGTCAATTTTGCTACACTTGAAATTGTCCCAGAGGCTCCTTACACTATCTTCATTTTTTGGATTCTTTTTTCTTCTTGCTGTTCTGAGTGGGTGTTTTTTGCTTTCTTATATTCTAAATCACTGATTTGATTCTCAGTGTTCTCTACTCTACTGTTAATTCCTTGTAAATTATTCTTCATTTCAGTTAGTGCATCCTCCACTTTTCACTGGTCCTTTTTTATGTCGTTGATGTTCTCACTAAGTTCCTTGAAGTTCTCAGTAAGTTCCATGAAGTTCTCATTAAGTTTCTTGAGCATCTTTAAAACCATTGTTTTGAACTCCGTATTTGGTAGCTTGCTTGCTTCCATTTCATTTAGTTGTTTTTCTGGAGATTTCTTCTATTTTTTCATCTGTCACATATTTCTTTGACTCCTCATTTCATCTGCTTCTCTGTGTTTGGTTCTATGTATTAGGTATAGCTGCTATGTCTCCTGGATTTGGTAGAGTGGCCTTGTGTAGTAGGTATCCTATAGAGGCCCATGGCTCAGCCTCTCCAGTCACCTGAGCTGGGCACTTTTGGTGTGTCCCTGTGTGGCTGTGTGCACTGTCCTGTTGTAGTTGAGCATTGATTGCTGTTGGCATCACTGAGAGGGACTGACCACCCCACACCAATTGGCTGTGCAGACCAGCTGTGACTACAGCAGAAGGGCTGCTGTGCAGGAGATTCCACTTTGAAGCAGGACTTGCTTCAGTGGGGCTTTGGTGCTCTCCAAATCTGCCCCTTGAGTGTGTTGCTTGTGGATGTGGTAAGGTTGAAATCTGGTGTGATCTGAAGCTGACCACTGGGTGCATTAGCTCTGGGGTCTCCAGGAAGGTGCAAAGTCAGCTAACTCCCTGTGCCCTTCCTGGAGCCACCTGGCATAAGGTACAGAGTGATCTGCAGATGGCTGCTACTTGTGTTGGACTTGGAAGTGCCCAGGAAAGGCCAACCTGTGAACCAGAATGCTACTTGTGCCGACCCTGGGGCCACTTATCGAGAGGTATGGGGCACACTGAAGCCAACTGTTGCTTGTTTGAGAGATTTTAGGAAAGTCTGAGGCCTGTAAAAGATACCCCTCTGGAGCAAGACTTGTTTCAGTGGGGCTTTGGTACTCACCAAATCTGACCCTCAAGTGTGTTGCTTGTGGATGTGTAGAGTTATAATCTGGCATGGTCTGAAGCTGTCCACTGGGTGCACTGGCTCTGGGGCCTCCCAGGAGGTACCAAGTCAGCCACTGCCTGCATCCTGCCTGGAGCCATGCTACAGAGTGATCTGCAGATGGCTGTTACTTGTGTTGGGCTTGGAGGTGCCCAGGAGAGGCCGAACTGTGAACCAAGGCGGGCTGCTTTTAGTGCCGGCCCTGGGGCCACTTATCGAGAGGTATGGGGCACACTGAAGCCAACTGTTGCTTGTTTGAGAGATTTTAGGAAAGTCTGAGGCCTGAGTTAGACCATTCATATGGAAAAGCTACTGCAAACAGCTTGGGTGGGGCTGCAAATTGGATGGGGCGGAGTGTCAGGGAATCACCAGGGTGGGGCAAACAGTATGGGACAGATTGGTAAAGATTCAGATTTGGTGACTGCCTGTTGGTAATGTGGCAGGGAGGTGTCAGCAAAGGAACAGTGACCTCTGCTGGCACTTTTGTCTGGGAGAAGGCTGTCCCCTAGTTCTTGCTCTGTTGCCAGACAATTTAGTTCCTCCCATTTGTTGATGGATCCTTTCAAGCTGCTGCCCCAGCACTGAAGCTCAGAGGGAGTTAGTCCAAGTAAGTCCATCACTGGTCCTTTAAGAGGAACTGCCTGGGACTCCAGCAACTCTCCCTATCACTCAGCCACAATACCTGCTGGTTTTTACAGCCCAAAGTTATGGGAACTTCTCTTTCCATTACTAGAACCCTGGGCTGAGTGTTCTGGTATGGGGCTGGAACCCCTTGCTCCTCACAGGAGGCCTCCACAGCCAAGATAGCCTTCCCACATAAAATGCCACATGTGGGTGTCAGACTAGCCTGTTTTATGCCTCTGCTCCTCTTACCAGTCTCAATGTGGCTTCTTTAATTCTGTAGTTGTAGGACTTCTGTTCAGCCAGATTTCAGGTGGTTCTGAATGATGGTTGTTCTGATTTAGCTGTAATTTTGATGTGGTTGTGGGAGGATGTGAGTACTGCATTTACCTACGCTCCCATCTTGACTGAAAGCCAACTTCAAGCATACCAACATTTGCATCATGGGGGTACCAGAAGGAGAAGAGAGGGAGCAATAAATTGAAAACCTATTTGAAAAAATGACAGGAAACTTATCTTACCTGGTGAAAGAAATACACATATAAGTCCAGGAAGTGCAGAGAGTGCCAAACAAGATGAACCAAGATACATCATAATTAAAATGCCAAAGGTTAAAGACAAAGAGAGAATCTTAAAAGCAGCAAGAGAAAAGCAGTTAGTTACCTACAAGGGAGCACCCATACAACTGTCAGCTGATTTCTCAACAGAAACTTTGCAGGCCAGAAGGTAGTGACAAGAAATATTCAAAGTGATGAAAAGCAAAGACCTACAACCAAGATTACTCTTCCCAACAAAGCTATCATTTTTAATTGAAAGCCAGATAAAGAGCTTCACAGACAAGAAAAAGCTAAAGGAGTTCATCACTACCAAACCAATATTACGTGAAATGTTGAGGGGTCTTCTTGAAGAAAAAGAAGAAAAAAAAGATCAAAAATATGAACAATAAAATAGCAATAAATACATATCTATGAACAATTGAATCTAAAAATCAAAATAAATGAATAAGGAATCTAATGAACAAAATAAACTAATGAATAAAATAGAACCAGAGGCATAGAAACATGGAACAGAGTACTCGACAAATCTCAGAGGGAAGGAAGTGGGGTGGGAAGAGATTAAAGAACTTAATATATGTATACATACATTACCCATGGACATAGACAATAGGGTGTTGAAGTCCTGGGGTGGGGTGGGATCTGGGTGGAAGAGGGGCAGTTGGGAGAGCAATGGGGGGACATCTGGAATACTCTCAATAATAAAGGTGTGTTTTTTAAAGAAATAGGTGTCATTTGGGTAACTAGTGCAGACTGTGTAATTGGTAATGTAATATGTTTATGTATATAGACGTGTGTCCCTGTGTGGGAAAACTGCACTTTACCCCTACTTCCAAAAGAGATGAGATGAAGTAACTGAAAGAGGAGATT